CACCCTGGGCACTCCAGAGCATCTCTGGAGGGCCGTGGGTTGCAGGAGGTGGGTGTCCAGCTTAGCTAGTTCCTCCCAGTGCTTGGGGGAGGGTCTTTAAGGAGGCTCCCAGCCCCAACTTCCTGGTTTGTTCCAACCAAAGGCCATGTGAGGAGGTGAAGATTCACATCTGTTCTGTCAGTTTTTTTTTTTCAGAAAAGGAATGGGAGTAAAGTCTCCTTGGCCTCTTTGGTCTGTAAATACACTGTGTCATTGAAAAAAAAAATTCTTCTTCAAATTTATCATTTTCAGAGAAGTCTAAAGTGAAAATGATCAGGAACTGAATTTTGATTTTTTTTTCCTCTATGGAATTTTGTGGATGAGTTTTTTATTTGCCGTATTAAGAACACAAAAAGAAAGCATTTCTCTTTTATGAATCGATATGGTTTACAACTTTTGGAAAATATCTCCAGTTAGATTAGCAAAGTTTAGTGGGGGAAAAAACTATCAGATGTGGCCCAGATATCACCAACATCTGTAAGTAAGGCCAGAATAAAACTGCAACTTACAACTCTATTCAAAGAGCTGTATTCCCTTTTCACCTGTGCCCTTTGCCCAGACAATGCCAGCTTGGTGGCATCAGAGAAGGTACATAAAGAAATTATGACTTGGATCCCTGCATTTCTAAGTCAGAATACAAGGGGAAAAATTTACCTACTTGAGGTTTGTTTTCCAGTTTCAAAATCTCTAGATGTGCTGAAACAGAGCTATACAACTCTGGGATGGTGTGGTTCTTGGTTCTTTGTTACAGCAATTCTATGAACTAAGACAATCAAGAAATTGTTGTCCTTGCTCATATGGACATTTATAATCTCCTATAGGAAAGAGGATGACTAAGGGCTTAAGAGATGTGCTAACAAAAGCTTCAAGAGTTTAGGAGGCAAGAGAGAGTGAGAGATCTTAGCTCTGAAGAGAAAGAGCCTCAAGTAGGGAGTAGCTTGTGAATATCCAAAGAACAGACTGAATTTGACAGGGAGAAATGGGGGGTGGAGGAGGGGAAAATGGGAGAGAAGAGTATTCCAGGCAGAGGGACTGATGAGAGAAAAGGAGCCAAAACTTAAGATGTCCAGGAGATGTGAAATGGTTCAACTTGGCTAGACTCCACCTATGGAACAGAGGTCTAGAAAAGTAGGTTTAGTAATAGAAGGGCTCAGAAACAATGTGTGTATTTTAGCATATTTCCATATCAGAGAAGTTTTGAGCTGGTATCAAGATCATTCAGCCTGGTGTTGTTATTTTATACATAGAAAAGGAAACTAAAGGATCCCCGCACTTTCTCCAAGATCTTATAGCCAGGTCTGGAATAGAATCGGGACCAAACTCCAGATCTTTCGTTTAGTAGTCGGTCATATTTGCAATAAATTTCTGTCTTTCAAGTGTTCCTTCCTTTCTGGCCTAATTTTGAAAATTTTACTACTAAATATCAATTAACTGTTACTTTTTAAGCCCCAGTTATTTATATTCAATATTAACTACCTATCTGGTTATGGGTTAGAAATGCACACAATAAATCTTTTCATAAAAATTCCTACTGGTGTTCCTGGGCACCCTCCCAACATTCCCCTCCATCTTTCCTAGCCTTCTGTAGCCCTCTGCAAGAAAAATATCTAAGCAAATAGCCAGGTCTTAGTGTATGTTTTGTAATGTAAAATAAATGTGGAAAAATCACCATTTAATGTTTTATTTCTAATAGAAAAGTAACCCATTATCTCACTACTCAACTAATTCCTGTGGATTTTTTTAAAAAATGAAACACAAATACTTCCTAAGAAAATTCAAATATTGTGGGAAAATAAACAGTAGGAACTCTCTAGTTTATTCCCAGTTCTTTCCCCAGATATATACATCACCATCAAATTCTTGTCTGTCCCCTCCCCCCCCAAAAAAGAAAGAAAATGTGTACAATTGTATGTGCTTTTCTTAATGTATCACTATACAGAATGTCCTGTGCCTGCTTTTTAATTTTCCTGAAAAATATATTCTGGTAGCTCTTTAGATATGGCAATCTGTACAACCATGTATTTTTAAAAGACTTCATAATATTCCATCCTAAGGGTGTGCCATCATTTAGTTAATATTAGCCATCATTTATTTAGCCCCTGATTACTTCCAGTGTTTTGTTATACAAATAGTACTGAATACTATCTTATACATATACCTATAATTTTTTTTGTGAGTGTATCCACAGAGTAACTTCTTAGTAGTGGAATTACTAACGATTACCATGCTTTTCCCCACCTAAAAACCCTTTAATATTTCCCCACCTCACTGCAGTTAGAATCAAATCCAATTCTCTTATCTTGATTTACCAATGGTCCAAGACCTGGCCTGCCTGCCTCTCCAACCTATCAGTTACTCCTTCATTGTGACCTGGAGACACACTAGTCTTTCATCCTCAGTCCTGCAAACTCGATCCTTATTTCAGGACATTTGTACTTGCTCTTGCTTCTGCAAGAATGGCTGTCTCTTTGTCATTGTGGTTTCAATTATTGATCTAAAAACAGATAGACTGGTGGTTATTACTCCCTCTTACTAAAGATGGGTTTATCTGGGATTAGCAGAGAGTTGCAGTTCAGGGAAGGAAACCGTGGTGGGCCACGTGCAAGTCACTACAGAGTAATGGAAGGAGACCACTTTTATAGAGGGGAAAAGGAAGTTGGGAGGGCTAGAGTAATCAGAGTCCATGACATTTCATTGGTTGAGTTGTTGCCGGGAGAGGAGTCTTTCTTCATGTTGGGCTCCACTGTGGTTGCACGGCAGGAGAGCGCCCCCTTCTGATATCCAGACTCTAATTAATTGAGGTTTCTGGGTATGAATTTTTTCCATAGTTCACAGTCATCTTCTCAGTGAAGCCTTCAGGGTTTAAATGAATGCTCCCATCTCTTCACATGATGCTGTTTAATTTTAATTTTAGGACTTCACTTTATGTGAAATTATTTTGTCTTCCTCTCTGTAATGTGAGCTCCAAAAGAGCAGGAGTCTTGTCTCTCCTCTTCCCCACTGAGTCCTGAGATCCCAGATGAGCACAGGCTCAAGGAGTATCTGGTGAAAGAATGGTCAAAGGATAAGTGGATTTAAAATGAGTAAATAAGCTACCAAATTGCTTTCCAGATAAAGTCACTGGTTTTCACTAACAGTATCTGTTCCTCAACAACACTTAGAAATATTAAGAACTTACCATTTTTGCTAATTGTCTACTTTAAAGTTCAAGAAATTGGAGCTTATCTCCCATTTTAAGCACTGTTCAGAAAAAATCAGATATTTGTTTTTAACATAACCCCAAATCCATCTTAACCCATAACCTCCCAAAATAAACAGGTAAAAACAGACATTATTTGGATAAGAAACATAGTAAGCAGATGATAATTTCTCATACTAGTTTAAGATTGGCATGATGACTAGTGAGAACAGTACTCAATTTAAAAATGGAATCCTTTTAAAGCAAATGTTGGACTTACCTTGCAAGTTATAGCAAAATGTTTGCTGAATTTCCTCACACTTGATTCCTCTCCCACTTCCCTCCCTTCTTTCACTTATTTAATCTCTTCACTTTACAAATATTTATTGATGACTCACAAGCCCAGGTAATCTGCTAACATCCCTACTGCTCACCAGGCCACACCCACCTTCCAGCCTGCTCAATCCTGCCAAGTCTTTTGGCTTAGTTTTTACCTTCAAATTCAGACTTGCACTGCAGAAATCTCTAGAATGGAAGAGATGAGAAAAGGCCATACATGGAATGTTTGGGAGCATCAATTTATAAATTAACTTAAAATTAATTTGCTAAATATATAAATATTTGTACATATATGTATAATTGTATTGATTTTTAAAACTCTTTATTTAACTTATTATACCACCCTCATTTACAGAGATGTTTCTCCCAGTCCCCACTTTTCTCTGGTTCTGGGCACCTGATTTTAAATGAAAATACCCTCTCTTTGGACGCCCAGGAAGGTGGGGAGCTGGGAAGAGGGAAAGAGAATGTTCTTCCTACTCCTGATGGCCACCTAATTTTTAAAGCATAAGTCCCTTACTATTATCGCACTTTAACCTTACAATTACATGCACAGATTAGATGGCCAGAAGTCGCCATGTCTCATATTTCATTTTTCCTAGCTTGTGGAGTGGAGGGACGTTCAGAATAAGAAAATACTTTTCCCTTGGAAAAAAGAAAGAGGGATGTATATGGAAGCTGAGGTTAAAACGTCACTGTGAGACTGGGGGCTCAGCAGGGGTCAACATTACATTGAACCCTCTCTTCAAACACGATTCTGTTGCATATACCACCCTTATAATAAAAAAGCGAAATTTCTCGTGCAAACAAATAGTTTCTGCATTGGAGCAGTTGGTCCTATTCTCCTATTTGCTAACTTCCATTCCCTCTTTGTCTCAGTTCATTAACTCCACACCTTCCCGTACCTAAACCCTCCACCTAACCTCCCCCGCTCTTGTGGCTACTAGTCAGTCTGGACTGTCCACCCGCCTCCTCCTCCGCAGCTCCAGCTGGCACGTGACTGGGGAGCTCTGCGGGCCGGCAGGCCCCAGGTTGACTTAAGTCAAAGCCGAAGCCCTGAGGTAAGTGACCCGGAGGGTACGGTTGGGGCGAGGAGGTAGGAAGTGCGTTCCTTTCACGTGGGATTTCTATGCAAATTTGCCTGGACTTCCTGCCAAAGCGCTGTCAGGTTTTACTATTTATGGTCTACTTGCCAAGCTCTCAGGTCCACGCGCTTTGGGGCTGCACTCTGTACGCCGAAACTTCAAAGGCCAGGCTGGGCGGCCCACAAGGTCGGGATTGAGGGATGCAGATGATCTCGAGGCCACTTCCTCCCTTTCCGCGCCCTTCCTCCACTCCCCTAGTCACCTTCGCGTAAACAAAACGGCCCCCAGGGCTAGGGAGGTCTCGGTTTCTCTTGCTCTTCCTCGCAAAGGGTTAATTTGTCAGATCGCACGAGGGGGAGGAGATTTCCCTGTAGACAAGTAAAAAGGGTGATGGACAAACGTGCGGGCACTAAGACCGCAAGGCATTCATTTCCTCCTACGGTGGATGCGGACGCCGGGAGGAGGAGAGTCCCAGAGCGAGGAGCCGGGCGCGGAGGCACAGGCAATGCTCAACCCTCAATGTAGCTAAGAGAGGCTGGGAGAGACCGATTGCCGGAGACCAAGCAGCGAGGGAAAGACCTAGGGGGGTGGGTGGGGGAATCATACAGGAGAGCACTTGAAATCAAGCGCTTTACAGGTAATTTTATTTTGTGTAGAGAACACGTAGCGATTCCGAAGATCAGTCCCAATGAACATGTCAGTGTTGACTTTACAAGAATATGAATTCGAAAAGCAGTTCAACGAGAGTGAAGCCATCCAATGGATGCAGGAAAACTGGTAGGTGATGCTTTCGCGTGATACTATTCCTGGGAGCCCTGCGCGTCTTCCTGGTATGCCTTAATGTCGGTACTCCCTTTCTGGGGAGTGAGTGGAGCGAGGAATCGCGGGCAGCAGCGAGCGGGTCTCCCGGGTTCAGGAGACACTGAGGCTGCATGAAGCGCGTGGGTCTGTGGGTGCCCCTGTGTGAACCGTGGCTATACATGCATCTTTAACATAGATTATATAACATAGAACATATATGTGTACATAGAGTAGATGTCGCGCGGCAGGGAAGGCGGGAGAGATGTCACAGCCCCTACCTGTGCTACTCCTGGTTTCCCTCTAGATTTGGCTTTTCTTGCTTGGCCTCCTGCAAGCAGAGTGTGGAAGGCAGTGGAGGGAGGACCCGGCCTCCTGCTCCCTTTAACCCTCTCCCGTCCGCCGTCCTCGGCTCTCTGGTCCTCGCCCTCTTCCCATCCCTCGTGTCCTTCCTTTCTCCTTGCAGCTCTCCAACTTCACTGCCCTCCTCTTTTCTGCTCCCCAGCCGGATTCCTCCTTTCCTGGACCTCTTTCCCCACGCGGATCTCTTTCCGGTTTCATAAAGAGACAGGGGCGGGGGGTGGGGGAGGAGGGGACAATGAAAACAGTGATAAAAATGAATGAACCCGAGCGAGCGGAGCCACGCCATTATTAAGTTTGTTTCACGGAAACGCCTTTTGGCCACACTCCGTTCTAATTTAGTAGGAAGCTGCTGACTGGAGTTGATACACTGATTAAAAACCCCTCGGTTCGCAGAGTCCTTGGGGGCTCTTCCCCAAACTTCTAATCCAGGAACGCATCTTTCTTGTTTACCGTGTACCCTCCGCCAGTCCTTTTGAAAATCCCAGTGTGGGAAGCGATCCTGTGTCACCTTGCAATATTTAACAGGGGAGGGTGTGTGTGCTCATCTCGCTTGTTTCTTGTAGACAGAGCTGCTGTGGCAGACATTCTCTTCCTCCCCTTAACCCTGGGTCTGGCGATTGGTAAAGAGCGAACCCCACGCACCCCCCGAGCCGGGCAGCAGCCGGCAGCCTCCCAGGTGCCGGATGGGAGGGTCGGGCCGAGAGGGCTCCCGGGAGCTGGGGGATCCTGCCCGCAGCGTGCACGAGCGCGTGCTCCGGCGCCCTCACGACCTGCCTTCCTCCTCCCACCTCATCAATGGGAAACCCGAGACGCCGGCACGCCGCGGGCTGGGGCGGGTGGGTGCAATAGGAGGGGGTTGCTGCGGGCAGGAGTCGGGGAAGAGGGGTTCAACTTCTTTTTTCTCCAGCCCCCAGGAGTCCCGACTGGTCTCGGGAGGCT